TTTTTGTCAAAGGACAAAGCGAAATTCATTGCATTTTTCTGAGAGTAAAAAATTTCCTAAAGAATCAAAAAAAAAGTTTAAAATGCCAATAAAACCCGAGATGTGCTCATTGGGTTTCCGAATGCTCTTTGTAACAATCAGTGGTAGTAGAGGTAGCATCAATGACAGTAAATCATATAGTAAAGGCTTTCTCAGTAAGTTAAGCATAATGCAAATATTTAACAGTTTTTCACATTTAAAGCCAATGATATTCTTTGATTCGAACTCAAAATTACATATTTAAGAAGGACTTTATAAGAATTGAGTAACCTGGACAATCATTATTACTTCTTTATAAAAGCTAACAAACCGCTCATTTCAATAATGTTTTACTTGATTGTTTATTTGTTAATAGCAGTTCAATCCGATACAGAACTGTAACAAATTCTATTTCTTTCTACTCATTTATTTCACCTTCTAAATTTAATCGTATTAGCACGCTATGATACAACTGGTAGAAATGCACAATCTTTCTCAGCATTTCTTATAATTATAACCGTTCTGCTGTTTGATGTACACAAGGAAAACAACGAAAAGTGCAAAGATAACTTAGCAGAAATAATTTCAATATAGGAAGAATAAGCCTGAAAGAAAGAGTGAACGAGAAGGACATGATCAGTTTACACACGTATATAATGTGCGGAAAGTAAATTGGCATGTAGCATTTACAGAATGCACACGTGATCACGTGGAGAACGTGGAAGAAACTAACTAACTCTGACATTTCGTCAAACATATTGTGCGAAAATATTAATAAAATATTGTATTTTTGAGCTGCAGCAATTTCATGAAAACATAGAACGACTGCTCAGATGGCGGTAAGGGAATAGAGGCGATGCGGTCTGTTTGCGATGCGTACGGGGTTAATCGTGTCGGAATTGAAGTGCGCAGCGTATTGGTGAATTCATCCTGTCATTAGCTCTCACGTTGTCAGGGTTTGGACGGGAGGATAGTCAGTTACTGTACTCGACTGAAGCATTGAATTCTCCAGAATTGCATTCGAGAAATTTATTCTCTCAGAAATTCATATCTGAGATATAGGTACTGAAGTCAAAACTTAATACGAATAGTTCGTAGCCGTCCATCCACCCATTTCCAGAATTGTCCGTCGTGGTGCTCCGGGAAACGCGTTGCGAGCAGGAACAGTGCGGACAAGGAACGATTGGTTCAGGTCGGTTTCATCTTTTTCTGCTAACTGTGCTGCTACTATGCATTTCATCAGAGAGACTTCTGGATTGTTCCGTTGTCGATCACTTGAGTTCTTTGTTAGTGATGGATTGGTCGTTTCCTTTCAATCGCTTCATTTTTTCAAAAGGATGGATGGCATTTGTTATTCATGAAATCAACTTTCTACTCTTGGTAAAAGATGACATTTTAATCAAAGAATTTCGGCTGAAAAAAATCAAAGCTGAAAAAAAGAAAAGAAAATTTCCAGCAAAATAAAAAAAATATTCAATTTTAGTTTAAGTGGACTTGCAGGACAGAATTCGCAGACCTTGGCTGTCTTACAAATATATGTACATGTTGGTCACAGTGATTCCTCTACGGTTGTAATTTCATTCCAAGAAATTAATGCCTTAGTGCGTTCCTACTGCATTTCATGAGTCACTGGAACTAATGTGTTTATTACTCTGAAGACTTGGAAGTTATCTCAGTGCATACTGTTGTATTAGATAGCTAATTTTGTTAGGATTCCACAACATAACATCGCTTCTCTCACTCCTACAATTTATAATTTCAAGCGGAATATGTGAAGCCCTCCAATTTGCCGTTTTCAAAATGTGCAGATCTCAATCGTAGCAATCGTAGCCTCTAAACTTTCTCACACTTTAACCGTGAGGTGCACACATGCTATCTTTACTTAAAAGTAGATTCTTGGAATAAAAATAATATGAAAATTCGTGGCACGGTAGTTGCTGAACCATGTTGCGCGTTCTGAAGTGGCAACATTCAATAAATAATCCATTTGTTTCAGTGTATCTGTCAAGACTTGATGTTTTCGGGTGATCCCGCAAGTGAGAAAAGAAAGGAACCCATTTCGCCTGAACCAGCCAAAAAACGGCCGAGAATTCAGGAAGTAAGCTTACCAGATCACATGTTTAGTTTAAGAGTGCAAAGAATCATTTTTTAATTGCTAACTTTATCTTCTATTTAAGCAACTCTTTAATATGGTGCTTGATTTTCTGTTATATAGCACATATCAATCTTTTACATCTCTATACCGAATTTTTAGAATTTTTCGTGGTTTTTTTACTATTACATTTTTCACAAAAGTGGAGGTTTTTCTTCCCAAATTTAGAGTCGATCTTCCGTGTCACTGTGTGCATTGTTGGATGTATGCAGACTATAAGCTGACCAGTACCAATTCGAAAAACATTGCTACTGTAAGTCATCTTGATGCCTGAACTGGTGGTTGAAACCAAAGAAATACGAATGCGAAGGTGTTATATTAGATGATTTGTATGAATTTTCTGCGAATCAAAGAAGGTCTACGCGTATCTATATAATACATCTCTGATAGACTAATCAAAAATGTACTATGCAAGTTTACGTTTACAAATAAACAGCACATTGCCTTTGGTTTCAACCATCTCTTTCCTCAATAAATATAACAGCTTCGCATTTCTTATATCTTTAATACTTCACGAGCTGAAACTTCTTCCTGACTGTTCTTTAAAAAAAAAAAATCCAAAAATTTCGCCTATATTCAGCCATCAGGTTGGGCTAGACGGCTTCGTACGACATACACTTATCCTTATTTCTGTTTTTTACAGTTACTACAATACATATTCTTTTTTCACAACTTTATGTACTTCTTTAAAAAATTTTGAACTGATATTCGATTTCGTTTTTTCATTTTGTTAGTTTATTGGACATAGTTTACAAAATTAAATTATACTTGATGCAGTGAGAACGAGAGTTAACTGTTATATTCTGACGAAGGTGCACGGGAATGTATGCTTTGCGCTTCTTCTGACATTAGTGTAATGTGAAAATTGGAAGAAGAATGCAGATTGAACAATTTCTTTTCCTTTTCAAAAATACGGACTTGAAGGTTTTCAGAGTGATATAACACGAGATAGATAAAAATTAATGTTCGTACTGTGGAGTTTAGTTTGCATGTTGATAAATTTTGTATCACTAGATAGTTTTTGGGAAGCATTGATCTTTCTTACTATCAAGTAAGAATTATCAGAATATGAAAGCTTCTAGTGTATGAATAAAAATGGAGACTATATACTGTACGTGGAAGCATTTAAAACGGTATGAAAAGATTAATATCTGATCGAAACATAAAGATGATATCTAAAAGGGATAACAAATTATCTGAAGTATCTACATGTTAATAATTCTTGTTTATGCCTATTGAATTATCTTTTTTATCGCTTTTTCGTTCACTACAAAGCCTATCTTAACGTACAACGACTGTTTCTACTTGCAGCAGAATGATACGGAATTTGCCAGCCAGTCATTTGATTTTTACATATAGTCTATTCGAGTCTTCAGATCGGCTAGTCCCCTTTCCCACTGTACCGCTTAGTCCGTACCGTTCAGAAAACATCCATAAAAAAATTTTTTGATCTGTAGCGCTTAACTCTAATGAAGTTCTATGTTGTTATATTTTGGATGTTATGTTTTACAGAAATTATGTTTTACAGATTATTGAATGTTAGTGGTGTAGCAACATGTGATGTTATATTTTTTTTTCTGAATGTTAATTTGTTATTGACTGATCTTTAATTCAAATGAGTAAGCGATGATTCAAAAGAAATCTTAATCTGAAATTAACGTTGTTAAAAATCGGCTACAGCTAATGCATTTTCATTTACATGTTTTATCTAATTTGTTCTCTCATACTTTTTAATAGTTGCTTTCATAATTGATGTCAACAGTTATGAGAACTGATTTATTTTGAAGTAGCGAAGTTAATGTATTTATAATAAATTCAGGAAGAAAATAGAACTTACAGTCCCCAGAAAGTTTTCATAAATTAATTATTGAAAGAGGTTCTTAGCATCATTGTAGAACGGAACATAAGAATGTTCCGTACATATACCGTTGCTGTGTGCATTTGTGTTGTGTGCGCTGTCAAAATTGATTACCAACCCCTCCGTACGACCATAAATACTTTTCAAGAGGAGATGTCGCGTAAAGTTTACAAATATCACACTTTTTTATGCTGAAATGATAAGACGAATTACTTCTGCTTAGTGTCAGTAGTATTAAGAATTTACATTTGAATGTGAAAGTTGTACATTTATTACAGACCCCATATCTTACTTGTGTAAGGTATGGGCCTTTCTGTTCACCTCACAGCTGTGTTATTTGTGAAAGATTTAGCGTGCTGTCTTTATTTATTGTTTGTTTTATTAGCTTTTTAAAATTTATCGAGAAAACGGCAAATATAGGTTTATTATCTTTCCAAATTTTGCTATACATCGGACATTGCATTTGTGACAAAACTCATTCGTATTAAAATGTTTGTGGAATGTTTTATAAAACATGTCTGTGGTTACATGTACAATTTCATAACTTTTTGTTAATGCGTAATATGCGTCATGTGCACAAAGAATATGAGTCATCCATTCGCATTTCAGTTTCAAAAATGTCTTAAAAGTATTTCATAGAAGTTAAGTGGTTACAAATTATTCTTTCATTTTACGCATTCATGCATCTTCTTTCGATTGTCTTTGTCATCTGTGATTTGGCAAATTCTCGTTTTGATAGGTTAATAAGAAGAATTAGATGGATACGTTTAATTTTTCGTCCTTGTCAAAATCTTTTTTGATATCCTATTTTAGACAATGTCATTGTTTGAATTAATTTTTTTTTTCACTAATATATCACCACCATCAGCAATAAAGTTTCTGCACAATTTTTGCTTTTTCTTCCAAACAAGGTACTTTAAGAACACCACGATTCTTCAGCGTCAGATCGATTCATCGACCAAATCCGCAACAATGGGTATAAACAGTGAAAATGGTATGGCAGATAATGGTGATGCTATCTTGGACAAAAATCTTTACTCGCGACAAATGTATGTTACGTTTCTTGTGAAAAGTTGGTTTCGGTGTTATGCTTTACTAATTTTTAACATCGGATGACCTTACGCTTCGTGATGCAATAATCAAGTGATAAAATGGAGATTAGATAATTTCTAGTTCCAACCAACTGTATGTATAAATCTCATGCAGTTTTAAAATTGCATTTTCAGTTACGCACTGGGTGAATCAGCAATGATGCATTTGAGAAAAGCATCTGTGTTAATATCAGGCATTGGATCAGTCGGTGTAGAAGTCGCCAAAAATTTAATTCTTGGTGGTATTCGTCAGGTAACAATCCATGACACACGTGATGCGAGATGGCTAGATCTGAGCGCACAGGTTGATTTCTAACGATGTTGTGAACTGCAGTATATATGTTGTAGTTATCTAATAATCATGCTATATTATCTGAGAATAAGAATCGTAGTAATTGAGGTTGATTAAGAATACTTTGCCAGAAATTATTGATTTATACTGGAAATTTACATAGAATTATATAAAATTTACATAGAATTATATAAAAAAAGATAAGTTTTTTTTATATAATTCTATGTAAATTTCTTATGAAAGAATTGTTTCAGTATTATCTGAAGGAATCAGATATTGGACGAAATCGAGCGGAAGCAAGTTTTGAACACTTAGCCGAACTGAATGACAGTGTTACTTGTCATTTATCAATGGATCCACTGAATGAAAATTTTGTAAAACAGTTTGACGTACGTCATGTTTCTCTTTTTACTTTCCAATTAGATGCATCACTGTATTTGGATATCATCTTTTTTAGTGTGATATGCAAATTTTCGAATGTTTCTTGAAGCTTTAGTTAATCAATAAAATTGAATTTTTCTGCTTGTCAGACTTTTCATCTATTATTTTTTTCTTTAGAAAAACTCTTTTTTATTTCTTATTTTTATCTGTTTACTTCATATTTTATTTCAGTTAACAGTGCTTACTGATGCTCCTCTCGCCATGCAACTGATAGTGAATGATTGGACTCGCAAGCATAATCGTCATTTTATAGCTACCGACGCTCGAGGACTGTTTGGTATTGTATTCGTTGACGTAGGTGCAGAATTTAAAGTAAATGATTTAAATGGAGAGCGGTGTAAAGAAGTAAGTTTGACATTCCAGTTCTGGAGAATTTTTGGGGTATATTTTAAATCTTCACATTTTAATAAATTTATTTGTTTGTTTTAGTTGCTGATTGAGCACGTAGATGCAGAGACAGGCGATGTAACAACGTTAGATAATGTGATGCATGGTCTTGAAGATGGCGATTACGTAACGTTTTCAGAAGTTAAAGGGATGACTGAGTTAAATGGTATTGAACCACTCAAAATCACCATTAAGAGTTGGTTTCTATGTTTTTATTTGATCATTTTAAAACTGTATATATCTAAGCTAGACTGAACTTGCTGGTCGCAGATTAATCCTACTTAAAATTTTTCACATGAAAAAAAAGGGAAATTAAAACTAACAGTGAATTAGTTTAAAGTAGTTAAAATTCTATCCTTACGTTTTTATTTGTTAGAATTATGTTATTTTTGCAAGTGCTAAGTGCTTATTGGTAAATGAAACTTTAGAACCAAATGTGTTCAATATCGGAAAAGTTGTTGCCAAATTCTCGCCTTATGTGGAAGGTGGACGTTTTACACAGGTTAAAGTGCCTTCTATTATTTCGCATAAATCACTGAAGGAGTCACTTATTGAACCGGATATATTAATGTGGGATTTCGCGAAATTCGAAAATCCCTCCCAACTCCATGCTTTATGGCAAGCATTGCATTCTTTTGAAGCTAAGGTATTATTTTTTTTTTCGGAATTGCAAAATGAAGTTTGCGGTTCATTGTAAGCATTTATTGACCAATGCAATTGGTTAGTATCAAAAAGTCTGTTGAATGAAATCTGTTTTGATTAAAAGTTTTGAGTTTATTCTTAGTTTTTATTTTAGAAATAAGTTTGAGAGGGGAAAAAATTTTTATTTCTTAACTGAGCTATACAACTAAGATTTAGCATAAACGAAGTCCTATGCCACGAAGCAATGAGGATGTTGGACTTCTCAAGGTCGAACTCCCACCTGGTGCAGAGTTAGATGAAAATTTGCTAAGGATCTTCAGTTATCAGGTTGATTCCATATTATTTTTGATAAATTTCCTATTTATTTACTAAACCGATGTTTCAGATCTTTGGAAATGCATAGAAAAAATTTAATCTCGTTGAATAAATCCTGTATAAATTTATGAAACACTGAGCTTGTACGTAACATGCTTCAGTGTTTTTTTTTGTTTGTTTTTTGGCTTTTTTTTAATATATGGAAGAAAAATTTTGTTCTTTTTTTTAAAAAAAAATTCTTTTTGGAATTGCAATACTACTGAAAAAAAAATTACAGTTGACCTATTTTTAAGGCTTGCGGTAATCTTGCACCTATTGCATCGATTGTTGGTGGTATCGCTGCGCAGGAAGCAATGAAAGCTGTTATGCATCATATGACTCCGCTGAAACAGTTTCTTTACATTGACTGTATAGAAGCATTGCCTGGCGATTGGTCACCTTTCGACAATAACAATCTGACGGCTAATGATTGTGAAATGGTAGTCTTTTCATTTTTCAATGTAAAACGTCATGGACTTCAACAGATATTTCAGAGTTTTTAATTTGCGATTTATTAGAATTAATTTCGAGATTGAAATCAAGTTGACATGGAATGAATCAATATGGAGATAAACGGTGGGTCTGGGCATCTATCAAAAACAGTAAAAGTATATTTTAGCAAGTGTAACTTCTCTTTATCTACTTATTTGCAGAAAAACTGTCGCTACGATGGCCAGGTTGCTGTTTTTGGACGAGCTTATCAGGAAGCACTTCTAATACAAAAATATTTTATTGTTGGCGCAGGTATGGATTATTCCGTCAACAATTCTTGTTTTATGCCTTGTCTATTTGTAAATTGAATACAAGTCTTTGTTCTTGTCCATTAAAGGTGCAATTGGGTGTGAATTATTGAAAAATTTGGCCATGATGGGTGTAGCATGTGGACCCGAAGGCAAATTAAAAATAACAGATATGGATCAGATTGAAATAAGTAATCTTAATCGACAATTTCTGTTCAGGAGAAATGATGTTGGCGTAAGTTTTCATGGATATGTAACGTTTACCTAGACCACTTATATCTGTCTAATTTGAGCATTCGGACTTTAGATTGAGAATTTTGTTCATTTAGTTAAAAGCGAAGTTTTTTAGAATAAAAAATCTGAGGTGGCTGTCAAGGCAGTAAAAGATTTCAACCTTAACATTAAAATTGATGCTCTTTCGGAACGTGTTGGTGCCGAGACGGAGAGTATTTTCACTGATGATTTTTTCAACGATCTCAACGGTGTGCTGAATGCACTCGACAATGTTGATGCACGTTTGTTATACTTTACTTTTCTGTGCAGTAATTTCGTGGATAGTCATATATCATTGGTGCAGGAACAGTCTGAAATTGTCTTGTACAGTTTGATTTCTAAACATAGTTTTTTTTGCAGATATAGATCTTTTTTTCTTGTAATTCTGCTACGCTGATTTGAAATTTCATCAACTTCGAAAATTTGTTTTTTGATTCTAGGGCGATATATGGATCGTCGCTGTATTTACTATCGTTTACCGTTGCTTGATTCTGGAACAATGGGTACGAAGGGTAATACGCAAGTGGTTTATCCCCATCTTACTGAATCTTATGGGTAACATTTTTAAGGAACCATTTTTTAAACTTATTTTATTAGTTTTTTTTTTTTTGAAATCTCAAGAATTAAAGTACTGAAATATAAATGCAAAATAACATATTTCAATAAAATTATATTAAGACATCGAAATATTTTTGGAACAGTGATGATCGCAAAATTTTTTTTATAAAAATATTATGTTTCGTTCACTTTCTTACTTTCTTATTTGTAATTTATTCCACTTTTTAGTTCATCAGTCGATCCGCCGGAAAAAGATATTCCAATTTGCACATTAAAAAATTTCCCCAATGAAATTCAGCATACCATACAGTGGGCACGCGATTTATTTGAAGGTTTATTCACAACTCCAGCAGAAACAGCAAATCAGTTCATATCTGATGAACGCGGTTTCTTGCAGCGGGTTGATCAAATGAACACAGCTCAACGAGTTAGTTATATTTATGCATTTCATTCATTTACGAAATGAAGGGATGTTTTTACAGAGGTCCCTGTGCGAGATGCCCGAAATTTATGAGAAACTGGTTACGGAATTAGTAAAGATTGTTAAAAAATTTTTTGTTTTGTGAGTTTCCATATTACTTAATTTGCAGCTGCACATGTTGTCCAAAGTAGAAGAAGCTCTGATCCGCGAAAGACCACACAGCCCAGAAGATTGCATAAAGTGGGCTCGGATGAATTTCCAAGTTTGTAGATTTTAAATTAATTGAGGCGAAAAACTGATATCACATTTTAAAGCGTTATTATGAATTTTTGTTGTAGGAATATTTTCACAACATGATTGCACAGTTATTGCATATGTTTCCGCCTGATCAGGTGACTGAACAGGGGATTAAATTCTGGTCAGGTAGTAAACGTTGTCCACATGTTTTGGATTTCAATCCGGATGAGGTAAAAATTTATATGCCATATTTTACAGTAATAGAATAAAATTCTTGACACGTTGACGAGTCATATTTGTTATGAAGAGCTATAGCTTTTTTTTAGCTTATATGTTTTTTTTTTTTTTTTTTGTTTGTTTGTTTGTTTGATACCTTTAAATGATGTTACATTATTTTTTAAAATCTTAAATTGCCATATAACTCCATATTCTAGCCGGAACACTTCAATTTTGTTTGGGCTGCATCGATTCTTCGAGCACATCAGTACGGCATTACACCAATAATTGACAAGAAAAAGTTCTTGGCTGTCTTAAATGAAGTAACTTTAAAATGCACATAAAAACTTGCGAGTTTTTTCCAATATTTTCTGCGTTTTCATCGAGTTGTATTATATTTTCAGATCCACCCACCACCTTTCATGCCGAAATCAGATGTAAAGATAGCTGTTACTGAAGCCGAAGCAAAACAAGAAGAAAAAGCAACAGCTGATGGTAAATGTGGTTTGCTCTTCACCGAGCAAATAAGTTTTCAGAAAACTAATTTCCTTTTGTGTATTATTAACTGCTAGCTCTCGTTAGTAAAACTTATATTTTAGATGACGTCGACGAGAAACTGCAGTCAGTTATGATGAATCTGGCGAAATTGAACAAAAAAACAACAAAGTCATTGATTCCGATCGACTTTGAGAAAGATGATGACACTAACCATCACATGGAATTTATCACTGCTGCTTCAAATCTACGCGCTGATAATTACCAAATCACACCAGCAGATGTTATGAAAGTAAGGGTTCAAAGAAAAGAATTTCACATCTAAGTCAATTTCACTTGCTTAATAAGTGAATTGCAAACTGAAAATGAAATTAATTCAGACGAAGCAGATTGCTGGACGCATTATTCCAGCTTTAGCGACGACAACATCTGCTGTTGCCGGATTAGTTTGCATTGAATTATATAAAATGATTGGTAATGGACATCAGCCACCGAACGTCCCACTGAAAGTTTTCAAGAATGGATTTTTGAATTTAGCGTTGCCATTTTTCGGATTTTCGGAACCAATTGCAGCGCCAAAGAAGAAGGTTGGATTCAAGGTTTTGTATTTGTTTTTCTTCCACACTTATGTTTCAAACATAAAATTAGCTTTTTCACCTCTTCACAAATTATCTTTCCGGTCTTGCAGTGTGCGGATGGCTATTTTACGCTCTGGGATCGATTCGAGATACAGGGACCGAAGAAAATGAAGGAATTAATTCAATGGATCAAGGTAAATCACGCATTTCATTTTTTCTGAAATGTTCTGATGAAGAACCAATAAAGAGTTTTTAGATTGACTATTTTTAACTTATACTGATCTGAAACTGAGTTTTTTGAACAAAGCATTTAGAATTTTTTCTTGTTACTTTGTTTTAGGTAAGTTCTATAAGTCATGCTTGTCGACCTTTTGAAAATCCAGTTTTTTCAAATTTTTGGTTTTCAATTAATAAATTTCGGAGCAGTTGTGCAGAAAAACGGCATTGTTACTTGTTGTTTTGTATCTTAATTTTTAAATTTGCAGGAAGAAACTGGACTGGATGTAACAATGATGTCATGTGGGGTATCACTCATCTATAGCTTTTTTTTAAGTAGTGATAAAAGAATGGAACGCTTGGAGCAAGAGTGAGTTTTAGAGCTCATTTTTATTTGAAAAATTATTTACTTTATGGATTGGATTACAAATCGTTTGCTTTCACTCTTTTATTTTTATTGTGGTAGTGGGAAGTAACAAGTTAAGGGACAAATAGTTCTTAATTTTTAATTTTTAGCATGAAAGACATTGTGGAAGAAGTGACGAGGAAGAAGATTCCAGACTATGTGCAGTCAATTGTTCTTGAAGTAATAGCCAATAACAAGGATGATGAAGATGTGGAAATTCCATATATCAAATTCAATCTCAGATAAAAAATGCTATTCTTAGGAATTTTCATCGAAATGTGAAGAGTATAGAAGTTTACATTTCGAGTTAATTTGATCAGGTCAAATGGTTTTGTGGGTTTCAAAAAATGTCTTCTCCACTTAGCTCGATGATATGATTAGCTTACAGTTTTTCTAATTTCAACTGAATACTTTTCATTGTAAAAGTTTTGTCTTTGCATGCATGACCTCATTTGAAATGCAGTGGTTTTGGACGTCCATCTTCGATGATGAACGAAAGAATGAAGATTTTCTATGTAAAAATTCGCTTGGGCTATCAGTAAATTTAGAATGCTTTAAAAATTTTAGTGAAATGTTCCTGGTTTTGTCCTTTTTGCAAATTGCTTAGAAATCAATTAGTCATTACTTGAACGGTTATATGTGTTTCACAGATGTTCGATTATCATTCACAGCTTTGATCTATAACATTTTACGCAACTTGATGTAAAGATTTCAATATTACCGATATTTTGGTAAATTTTCACTCTTCTGAAATAGTGGTTCTTAGGTTATGCTTCTTTTATGAATTGAACTAGTAAATCTGACTTTATTTTTTGAAGCGGACTTAAAATGATGGTTTGGCTAATCGTTTTTCTCTAATTCTCACTCAAGCAAATATTTTATATCGTTTCTTTTATGAAATAAATAAGATGACTTCGTGCTTTGTCTGTTCGTCACTCTTTTTTTTTTTATTTGCTTTCCATTTCCAATTTCAAATAAACATTTTGGAATACGAATCACGTGTCATTCAATTTTCACATACGATACTGCTCCCTGTTCCATTTTCTTCGCAAAGTGACGTGTCAAGTTAAACTTCATTTAACTTTACTTTCTTCTGAATGCTTGTTCGTTGCTGAAGTGTGTTTTTTTCATTTCTTCACATTTTCGTGTATTTCCGTGAAGGAGTAATTACAGACGTAATTATGGATGTTGTCCCAAATACAAATGTATGTTTATTCAGTTACAGTTTCGTTATTTCTGAAAATTTTTGCTTTATATAAGGAGTAAAGATTTGGTTTTGCATCGAGTATTGCGTACTGATGAATGTTATAATTCAAAGTCTCTCCTTCATTTCGATAAGCTGCAATCAATTTCCATTTAGATAAGCCGATCAGCAAACTTAAGAATTATTTTACTGTATACCTTTGAGCTAAGAATTTGATTCTTATGGATGGAATATAATAGTAAAATGATTGATGTACTTTATTTCTGGGATGGAAGTGATTTTGGCTGATACCAGCGAGTGCTAGAAAAGACTAGACAAAGAATTCGATGGTATGAATTAGTGATGATAAACGGGGTGTCAGCTGATGATGATGAATTATATAGATGACAGGAGCTGAGTTGAAATATTACATCAGTCTAGACAGGTTGTAGCTCTCCTGATTGGTCTTCCCACTGTACTTTGTACTCAGCTGTCTATTTACTCATTTACTGCTGTTTGCAATGGGCAACAATTATCCCCACTCGAGTTACTCAACAATCTATTCATTATCATACGCCCACTCACTCCATACAATTTTCAAGTGTCATATTTGGTCTAGAGTTAGTTCCGCCCTATTATCGTATACTTCAAAGCATTTATAAAGTGACGATAAATCAGTCTTCCCATTACGTTACCTTCCGTTATTATTGCTATTTTATGAGTAAAATGTCATCCATCGAAAGGTATGATAATTTATTTCTTTATTTGTTTGATATTGACTCTCTGTTTGTTTGAAAAGTCACATGAAAATTTTGAAGTTGGTTATTTGGGGAAATATTTCTTTAGATTTATAAAATGTGGAGTTCAGGTTAATAACATTAGCTTATGTTTGCATCAATTAAATTTCCATTAGTTTTTTCTGAGACCGAAAATGAATCGATAATTCTGTGAGCATTACCAAGGACTGGGTATGCTGAAAGATCTGGAAATGAGAGGTTTTAAATAAAAAAGGGCGTAAGAGAAGTAGGCCTGGTTTCTTGGAAAAAAGCTTTAATAAATTCATGTAAGTGGTTGAGAATTGATTACATGAAATAAATGATGTCAAATCTTTTTCTAATTTTCAGTTATTTATCCGCACAGATATCGGCTGCTAAATCAATAACCGATAATGTTTATGATGGAATTGTTTATGTTTCTCATTCGCTTTCGGAAACTGCAAAATACGAAATCCTGAAACCACTGTTACCAAGCATTACTGCTTACTCTGAGGTTATATTGAAACATTGTTTCCTGAATACCATTCTGTTTAAATTGATTTTAGAAATATTTTATCTAGTTTAATGTAATTTATCTAGTTCAATTATTTATAATTACAATTTTCTAAAAATACAAAAAGTTCCTATCGATGGCTCACAATATTCTTGAAATGTGTTATGCTGGAATTTTCTAAATCAGCACATTTAATGTCTAAATTCTTTCAGATCCATAAAGATATCGAAAATACTACTACACTGATTGCAGTCGATAGAAATGTTGTTCCGTCTAGAAAGCTGATTTTTGCAGGAACAGGACCAGTTAATCGCGATCACGATGACGTGCGCCGTTTCGGTATAGCTGCTCGAAACGGTATGAAATTGTAAGTAAACATATTCCGTTTAATTATGAAAATGAACAAGTTTTATTATTCTTGGTTAAACTAGGGGGAAAAAGAGTCATTAAATGAAAGGGAAGTTTAATGGAAAATTAAAATTAAAATTTATTTGAACCAGAACTTCTTCACAATTCCTTTCTTATATCGAAATGGTATAAAGAAATAAAATATATTGTACCATTGATTGCTGTTGCAGAGCTTTGAAAACTGGCATGAAAGCACCGTTAATTTTAACTTTACCGCATAAGAAATACCCACAGGCAGAGTTAGTATCAGCTCTTGGCATAATGCATGAACTCTATATACCACTGAATGTACGAGAAGAGAAAAAGACCAAAGTCAGCGTTGTCGGTTTCTGTGCTCTCGATTATGACCAGGAGTTAAGTTTTAGGTTTTTTTTTTTAAATAGTTGAGGAAGTGAGTGTGAAATTTTTCTTATGTATTTCGAAGAAGTATTTGCAAAAGCAATTAGAAAAATTCTATTCAGCCACATTAAAGCCATTTTCATGAGTCATTTTGATTATATTGCCTTAACCATTCTTTACTGCGGATGTAAAGGTTTTAGAGTTTTTATACGAATTTTTAGACGCTAATGAAATTAGTAAAAGCACTTGATGCATCATTTACGGTTTGTCGCGATATTGGCGATTCTGATCCTCAAAGGATGTCACCACCTTATGTCGCAGAGTATGTTACTAATGCATTTAATGGAACAAACATCAGCATTCGTATAATATCTGATGTCACTGTAAGTTTGAATAATTGCAACCCTGAGAATGCTGATAAATGATTTTTGTTTAATATAAAGACGGTAAAGGCTTGGAATTTTAACATAGTTGATTGAACTCGTTTGTATTAATAAGTCAATTTGCCTCGATTTTTGTTAATTAGTTTTTGAATTCATAAGTGCAAACTTTTAGGAAATTGAACGCGAATTTCCACTTATGGCAGCTGTAAATCGTGCAGCAAATAATGTCAAAGATCATCAGGCACGTCTAATATGGCTTGAGTACAATCCAGAAGGTTCTTGTAACGAGACGATCATGCTTGTGGGCAAGGGTTAGTTTTGAGACTTTAGATAAATAAATGATTGATGAGTCATGAGTTTTTTAAGGTGTTACAATAGATACTGGTGGCGCTGATTTGAAAACGGGTGGAAATATGTTTGGGATGTGTCGCGACAAATATGGTGCTGCAGTTGTTGCTGGTATTTTCAAAGCTTTGGAAATTTTGAAGCCAAAGCATATTAAGGTTAATTCATTTGATAGTTTTGAGTCAGGTAAATGGAGAAATATCCTGAGATGTACTGTTTTGTAAACCAATGCCAATATTTCAGTAAAACTAAATTTACAGTTTTGTGGCTACATGTGCATGGTCCGAAACAGTATTGGTTCGAGCTCTTATACATGTGATGAAATAATTCGTTCACGTAGTGGTAAACGTATTGCAATATATAACACTGACGCGGAAGGTCGTATTACGATGCTCGATCCTCTGACAAACATGGTTGAGTTGGTAAGATATTAAATCATAACATCATTGGATTTAAGCACACGAAATTATTATGTACATTTAGTCAAGTTAATAGTTTCATGTATTTGGAACTCGTTCGGCCTGTGTTAGAGTTTGAAATTCCATCCTTTAAAGAAAATTTCACTCATTTCAAACTTTTAATTATAGGCCAAATTAGAGAAGAAGCCACGATTGTTCACGCTGGCTACACTGACTGGTCATTGCATACTGAGCTACGGCTACATGGCAGCGGCAATAGATAATGGTCCGGCACGCGTAGATCATACCGCTGAAACAATTCGTGACTGGGGTGATGTATTTGGACAACCCGTTGAAGTATCGCGGTTACACTGGGAGGTGGAATTTTTGGGATTTAAAACAGAATTTTCAATTAAAGCTGTGCAGTAAACTGGTCGAACGCAAACGAACGAACGAAAAACTGGTCTTCCATGTTTAGTTTTGGATTTTCCTTCAGAATACTAAAGTTTCGTTCTTCCAATTTAGCACGCTTCAAAACGGTGATATCGACAAATTAAAGTATAAAAATAAGAGTTGCATGGGGGACTTCTGCTTCCAGGACTTTGATTTTCACGAAGCTGAAAGTGAGGCAGCAGACATACGACAATCAAACACATTACCATCAGTGAGAACACTACGTGGTCATCAAGGGCCAGCTGCATTTCTTTTAAAAGGTTCAAGACTGGATGAACATGGATGTGATTCAGTGACTCCTATTGCGTAATATTTTCTTTCTTTTAAGAAGTTTGACTATTAAACTACCTTTCCATACTTCCTTACATGTTCAATTTTAGAAGAAAGGTATAAGTAAAGCAGCAGTGAAATCATTAATGAAATGTAATACTTCAGGGCTTGTAGTACTGTAACCTTAGATATCACTTA